ATTTTTTAAATTTAATTTAGTTGTATTTAATTTAATTTTATTTCATTTTGTTTCATTTTATTTCATTTCGTTATATTATTTTAATTTTTATTTTATTTCACTTTACGTTATTCTATTTTATTTTATTTCATTGTATGTTATCATCTTTTATTCTATTTGATTCCATTTTATTCTATTTTATGACAAACTCCCCAGAATTCTCCCTGCATTTCAGAAAAAAAAACTTCTGGATTGGAGCCCCTCAATGTCCTCACCTTGTGCTGTGCCTTTCCCTCGCCATTCCCACATTCCTGCCCCACATTCCTGAATTCTCACATTCCCAGATTCCCACCCCACATTCCCGCATTCCTGTCCTGCATTCCCAGATTCCTGTCCCTCATTCCCGCATTCCCATCCCATATTACCAGATTCCCCTCGCGCATTCTCAGATTTTCATCCCACCTTCCCAGATTTCCGCCCTGCATTCCCAGATTCCCATCCCACATTCCCAGATCCCCCTCGTGATTCCCAGATTCCTATCCCACATTCCCAGATTTCCGCATTCCCAGATCTCCCTCATGTATTCCCAGATTCCCGCCCCGCATTCCCAGATTTTCGTCCCGCATTCCCAGATTTTCGTCCCGCATTCCCAGATTTTCGTCCCGCCTTCCCAGATTCCCATCCCACATTCCCAGATCCCCCTCATGCATTCGCAGATTCCCATATTCCCATATTCCCGCATTCCCAGATTCCCATCCCACATTCCCAGATTGCCACATTCCTGCTGCTCACCAGGACGCTGCTGTCGCGRGGGTTGGTGGCCAGGCTCAGCCCCAGCCTCATGTTGTCCTTGCGCTCGGACACGTTGGACAGTGTCACCCGCCCTGGGAGAGAGGGACATCGGGAACGGCTCTGGCACATCGGGAATGCTCCCCCAAATCACCGGAGCAACTGGGAATTGCATGCCGGGAGTCCCTGCTGGCTTAACTCCAGGGTTTTTTTTTGATTTTTGGGAATGGTTGTGGAGGTAAGGATTGGGGTTTCTCCTGAATGAACAGCCAGGGAAGAAAAATCTTTTTGGGAATAAGGATGGGAGCCAGAGAGGAAGAAAGCCCTGGGAGRGCTCTGCTCTTCATCCTTTATTCCCAGGCTGGATCTATCCATCTGCATCCTTGGTTTTCCATGGCACAGCCCAGAAATCGGGAGCAGCCCCCAGAGCTGCCCTGTCCATCCCAAACTGAGCCCTGTCCCAAACCCTGCCTGATCCAACCGTTCCTCTGCTCCAGGGCTCTGGAAAACTCAGCTCCTCTGATCCAGAGCTCCCCCTTTGCTGTTTTCCTGGGAAGCAAACTGGGAATCCTGAAATGGTTTGGGTGGGAAGGGACATTAAATCCCATCCCATCCCATCCCACCCCACCCCCGCCATGGCGGGGACACCTCCCACTATCCCAGGGAACTCCAAACCCTATCCAACCCAGCTTTGGACGTTCCAGGAATCCAGGGGCAGCCACAGCTTCTCTGGGAATTTCAGCCCAGCCCCTCCCCACCCTCACAACCAGGAATTCYTTCCCAGTATCCCATTGGGAAGGGGCTGTACCCAAGTTGAGCTTGGTGCAGTTGCTGGGGCCRTCCCTTGGCACCGGACACTTGTAGACATCTCCGGTCTTCTGCTGCCCGTTGGATTCGTACGGAGCTCCCACCACCAGCCTGCAGAAAACAGGGATCTGTCAGCACCAGGGGAACGGGAATCCCCCTGGGAATAAGGATTCCTCAGCCCCATTCCCTGCTTGTGGTTGGGAGTGGCAGGAGAAGGTCCCTCGTTGTGGTCCCACCCTCAGTGGAGGGACAACTTCTGCTGCTCTTCCCAAAAAAGCAAAAGGCTGGGAAGATGATTTATGGCTGCCTGGAATTACGGAATTCATGCCCACCGCACAGGGAACAGATTCCCAGCAGGGAGGGAGAGCTCCAAGGCCATCTGGAAGCATGGGAAGGAGTGGGGAATCTGCTCCGGGATGGCACTAAATCCCTCAGAATTATCCGAGGTGGATCATTCCTTCTTCCCACTGCCTATGGARGAGCTTTTCCATRGGGTTATRGAATGGTTTGGGTTGGAAGGGATCTCAAGGAGCATCCCATCCCCTGCTATGGACACCTCCCACTCCATTCCAGGAGTCTCCAGGACATGGACATGGAGACACCTCCCTCCTCATTCCARAAGTGTCTCCAGGACATGGATGTGGACACCGGAATCCAGCGGAACCAAAAGGAGCAGCAAGGAGCTGGTGGAGCACTTGCAGCAAATCCCACCAGGATCCACAAGGAACCTTCCCCACCAAAATGCTGGAAAAGGGAATTTGCTCCAACCTGGAATCGTTGGTATCAGCTCCGAGCCAAATATTGGGATCTCCAGTGGTGGGTGAGGATGTGGGGAAGGAATTTTCCCCAGGAAGACCCTGGAAAAGGGAATTTGCTCCAAGCTGAGGGTGTTCTAAACATTGGGAGCTGAACACTGGGACCTCCAGCAGATACTGGGAATCTCTTGGCTCTTCCAAATGAGGGAGCTGCTAAATCCCACTCCTCCAGCCAGGATTCCAGCTTCCAGTCAGGATATTTCTGGGACTTCCAAACATTTTTCCCACTTTTTCACGACCACAACACTTCAACCCTGCAAACCAGAGGAGGAAGAGTGCAGAACCCGAGGAATCTGGAATTTGGCCCTTCCTTCCAGGCGACCCCAAAAATACCCGGCACCACGAGTTGTCGGCAACTCCCGCTCCCGACGTGCGAGCCCAAAATAAATGGGAATTTTTTTTTTTTTTTTTTTTTTTTAGGTTCCTAAAATCCTACGGATGCAACCGTCCGAGTCTGGATCTCCAGATGAACAGGAGCTCTTTTGTTCCACAGGGCCCTTCCCAACAGCTGGAAAAGCCACCGGCCCAGATGTTCCCTGTTAGGCTGGGAATGGTCATCCCATAAAAATGCTGCTCCTCCGAAGACAAACATCCCATTCTTTCATCCCATTGCTCCAAACCAGAACGGCTCACCCAAGGAAAAGCTCCCGAATCCAAGGATTCTCATGGAAACGCTTCCTGTCTTACGGCTTTAGTGGGAATTCGTGATGRGAAAATTATCTCCAGCTGGAGCTGTCCTCAGCAGTGTCCAGGAGCTCAGGGAAATCTGGGATCTTTTGGGAATTTGCTCCTGTTTCTCAGGCTCTCCCACGGTGTCCATGCCCATCTGGTCATGGAGAAGAGGGAGAAGGTGGAAGATGGAGAAGGAGGATGGAAAAAGACCTTGAAGATGAGGAGGAAGAAAGGTGGAGGCTCCTCAAGAAATAAGGATCTGCCGTAATTCTGAATTCCCACAGAATTTAGKATCAATGGAATTCGATGAACTTCTCAGAGTGGCTCCACCTTGATGCACTCCCCCCCCCATCCTGCAGGAAATCCCCTCAGAGACTTTTCCATTAATTAATATTCCCGTATTAATATGATCACAACACCCATTAATAAATTTTGSATTTTGTGTCGGATCATCCCTTTGGGATGACGAGGCAAACCCATCCATTCCCCAATTCCAGGAGCTCCAAGGAAACCTGAACATTCCCARCCTTTGCCATGAACGTGAAGGGGCTGTGGAGCTCCCGAAGCTGGAATTCTTGTCTCCCAAAAACAATGGAATTGTTTTTTCTTCTCAGTTAAATGGGAATGATTCATCAGCCGGAGCTGTCAGATCCTCATGGAAACTTGGCAGCTCTGGAAAAGGCTTTTCCAGCTGTTTGGAAGGTGTTTGTGGGATGCTGCTCCACTCCCCAGCTCTCAATATTTTCCTTTACCTTGGCTTTAAATTCTGGATTTTTCCTTAAAAAAAGCAGGGATTTGGGATGGGTTATCCCATTAATTTGGGATGGGTAAACGCAAATCACTCAAAATATCCAAACGATCTTGATCATCCAAAGCCAGCTGCATTTCTCCATAGAAARGAGACATTCCTTGCTTTTCCCAAGCTTTTCCAACCTTTTTCCCTCTCTGTACCCTTGGCTCATCCCAAATCTCCATCTTTTCCCCTGAATTCCCAAGAGGGAAGCAGCTCCTGAGTCACAATTTGGCCAAAACCCAAGGATTTAAAAGAAAATTGGGACCAAACAATTCCTCCCTGGCCTTCCTCCCACTCCCAGGAAAACAAAAGGGAAAAAGAAATCCAGGGATTAAGTGGGAAAAGCTCCGGCTGCTCCGAGCAGCCTGGGGATGTATTTTTAACTTTCATCCCGAAAAAAAACAAGGAGAAGAAAACCAGGAATATTCGAGCAGTTGTGCTTTCTGAGCAAAGCCCGGGGCTGGGTCCTGATTCCCAATTTTCCATCCAGGCTGGGAATGGGGTGGTTGTGTCCATGTCTGCTGTATGGGAAAGGCTCCCAAACAGCAAAATCAGGGAATCATGGAATGGGTTGGGTGGGAAGGGCCTTAGAGCTCATCCCATTCCAGGATCTCATCCCTGCGCTCCAGGCCCAGATCCTGGATATCAGCCTTTCCCAATCCTTGTCCTAATCCCTGTCCCGATCTTTGTCCCAATCCCTGTCCCCTCCTGCTTTTCCTGTGCCACCAATCCCCGGAGCAGCCCTGGCTGTTGTTTTCCCAAGACTTCCCAGTGTTTTCCCCACTTTCTTTAAAAAATGGAACCCAAACATTTCCGGCCTTCTCCAGCTGTTCTGGGACAGGCGTGGCTCCAGCAGTGACAATTCCGTGACCCGACACCAAATCCCCAAAACCAGTGGATCTATTCCAGGCTGGACACAGCTCGCAGCACCCTCTGGAATGACCCAAACCAATCCATGATTTTCTCWAAAATGTGGCCAAAAAAAGGGGAAAATCCCCCCAAAAAACAGGGATAGGGTGGGCAGCTCCAGCTCCTGCATCCAGCCCGTGCCTGTAGGAGAGCCGGGAGCAGACGCTACGGAATTCTCTGCACTTCCTACCCTTCCACCAAAATATTCCGAGTGCTGGGGCGGCGGCCAAGCCACCGGAGAATTCCAGCCAAGAAAACCTCTGGCAGGAGCAGGGAAGCAGCAAACCCTGGAAGTGTTTTTCCAGATCAGCRCAATCACAGCTTTCCATCCAGCCRGCRGATTTTTCCCCCTTWTTTTYCCCCCTYCTCCTTTCCCTCCAGCCGGGCTCAGTCCAGGAATGCTGCAGGGAATGGGGCTCAGGGTGCCCCTCTCTGGCATTCCTTGGAAAAGGAGCTTCTGGCTGCTCCCAGGGAGGAGTTTGGGGGTCAGAACACCCCTTTGGATACATAAGGTACGAGATCGGGATAGGGAAAGCAGCTCCAGGGGAGAGTCCAGCATCCCAAAAATTTGACCCACAGTTAATTCCAAAGGGGATCCRGTGGATCCCAGCCTCAGTCAGCTCGGGAATTCTCTGTTTATGATTGTTATGGCTTCACAGTGCCAGTGGAAGTTCATCCSCAAGGTTTTCCTTCCACAGCCACTTCTTCTCCAGCTTCTTTTCTGGCAGAGCTGGGAATTCTCATTCTGAGCTGCGCTCCCGGCACTCATTCCATGGAGAATCCCGGATCTGGCTGCCCCAGGGAGGCACCACCTTCCCTCCAGACCCTTTTCCCTCTCTTCCCATCCCTGGTGGCCACGGAAAGCCGAGAGAAGGGAACAGATCCTTAGGGAATGCCACAGCTCCTGGAATGATGGGAAGCCACCAAAGCCAAACAACTCGAAGGGGAAGATGAAAGATGAAGGCATTTTTTTTCCTTTTTTTTCTCTGCTCTTGGATCTCTCTGAACCTTTTTTCCCAAATTCCCTGAGATTCCAGGTTGTGTTTGCCCCAAACATCYGGGAGCTCCAGGAGAAGAGCATCTATTCCTGTGAGAGCTTCCCGGATTTCAGAGATCCAAATCCCACATTTGCAGGGACACYTGGCTCATTTTTCCTGAAGAAATCCATCCACAGTGCCAAATTTGTGCCTGGATTTGGGAACCTACCTTAAATCCCCCAAATGTTTCTGGCCTTCCAGGAATTCCCTCTCCTTATCCCAAAACTGCTCCCAGGTAATTTTATCCCAAACACAGCAGTTCAGGGAGCTCCCATTTTTTCCTAAAAACTGCCCAGCCTGGACATTGGGAAAGCTCAGATCCCATAATGCCAGGTTCCCCTTTCCCTGCCTGCTCCAGGCCCGGGAAGCTGAAATTCCACGGAGCTCCTGTTTTTTTTTGGGATGAATTCCAGCCACCTGCTGTCACCTTTTCCATTGCCACTCAGAGAAAGCACCTCCAGCTTCACAGAAAAGAGGGAAAAAGTGTGGAGAGGGAGGTCTGGAAACCCTTCACGGCTCTGGAAAACGCTGGAGAAAAATCAAATCCCAAATGGATGAGCTTTTCCAGCATCAAATATCTGAGCGGAATATTCTTTCCCCCAGAGTTTAATAACCAAAATTCTTTCCTTATGGATTTTCCACTCTCTGGGATGCACTTCCAGGCCCCCACGTGCAAGCCTGGGTGGCTCCTTGAGAGGTTTGGAAAAAGGGGGAAAATCCCAACTTTTTTTTTTAAAAAAAAAAACACCTGGAAAATCTGAAATCTGCTTGGATCCACTCAAATATTCCTTTGTAAACACCTATAAAAGATATAAATACAAAATTCTTGGAAACCATTCCCAAACAATTCCCGGCAGCCAAAAGCAGCATTAAAAGGCTCAGACCGAAGCAGAGGCGCCAAAATCCTYGGATTCCACGCTTGGAATTTGGCAGCTGGATCTGGGCACATCCGTCACTGAGATTCTGAGGGAACCGTGGAGTCTCTGCCGTATTCCAGTGGATTTTCTGGAATTCTTTGGGATGGGATTGGGAGATGCTCACCAGGAACTGGGGTGTCAGAATCTTCCTGTTCCTTCTGTGGCCTGCCAGCTCCTGGAATTATTATCCAGATCCTGGAATTATTATCTAGCTCCCTTTGCACTTCCTTGTTTTTATTCCAGAGGTTTTATTCGCTCCCACATTTCTCCTTTAACCAAAGTGAGGCACTGCCTCTGTTTTTCAGCCGTATCCATGTATTTTGTAGGAATTTTTCCTGCTTAACTGCAGATTACAAGAGTGCTGTCCCAAGGTTTTATCCATGTCCATCAATAGGATTCAGCTGGAAAAATCCTTTTTTTTTTTTTCACCAACAGAGGAACCAACAGGAGGAAAAGTTAAAGGTGGATCCTATGGATTTGGGCAGGAAAAGTTGGCAGGAAAAGTTGGCAGGAAAAGTTGGGAAAATCAGCCCAAGCTGCTCTTTGCTCCAGGGAAAAATTCCCAGTCTCCAGGAAATTCAGCCCTTGGCCCCCACATCAGTGGAGGCATTATGGGAAAAAGGGATGAGAGATCCCAAATATCCCAGGAATTGCAGCTCCTCAGCTGGGCTGGAGCCCAAAACAGCTCCTCTGGATAAAACCAGGATGAGAATATTCCCGAAATTGGGGTTTTCTGGCAATTTGCCTCAGAGAGCTTGGAAATCCCTGCAGACACTGATCTTCCAACTTTTCCTTCACCTACTGCTATTGTTCCCAGGAAAACCAGGCCCTGAGGGTAGGGAGGGAATGGCAGAGGATCCTGGAAAAAATCCTGGCAGGTCTGAGTCCTTCTCCAGATCCCAGCTCCTCCATGGAAACGGTGAAAAACAGGAACGCCTGGACCCAAATTCCAGATGGAATTCCAGCTGCTCCGGAGCCCAAGGGGCTCCAGAGGAATTGTGATCCAGTCTACAGCACCTGCCAGGACACAACCCCTCTATACCCACCCCTCCCAAATTCCCAATATCCCGTTATCCCACCTAAAACCCCTCTTTTTTTTTTTTTTTTTAAGGAAAAAATTTCCCCGCTCTAATTCATGCAGCACCTCCGAGGGCAATTCCAGCACAACAATTCCCGCCCACACTGGGAATGCTGGAGGGGGTGGTCAGCTTTGAGTGGATTGCTCTAGATTCCCACAGAAATTCCCAGTGAAATTCCCAGTTTTCTCACCATTTCTTCCCGCCGATGTCGTGCTGCTGCACCGTGTATCCAAAGAAAGCTTCCCTGGATCCCGCGATGATCCGGGGGCTCTTGGTGTCCAGGTTGAAGGAGTCACCGATTCCTGGGAAAAAAAGGGAAGGATCTGTCAGCCAAAAGACTGGGAAACACCAATTCCAGGTGGCCAAAGGACAAACTGGGAATTCCAAAAACCTGGATGGGCTCCAGCCATGGGATTATTCCAATCCCAACTGGACACTGGATAATCCCACTGAGATGTTCCCTGTCCCAGGAGTGAATTTTGGAGAATTTCCTGGTGGCTCCTCCCTCTGCCAGGAGCCAGATCCCAATGGAAAGCTGGAGCATCAGGAATCCCTCTGAGACTGGGATATTTTGGGAATGCTGAAGATGCCCCTTTGCAATCCATGGGAAGCACAGAGGTACACGGCCCAAATCCCAGGAGAGAGATGCAGGATGGACATGGAGAACTGGGATATCCTGGATTTGATCCCCTTCCAGGCAGAAAGAAGCTGCTGGATGCTCCATTCCAAGAAAAACCTTGGCATCCTCCTCCGGGACAGAGGCAGGAGGCTCCTGTTTGGAATTTACAGGGATATAACGGAGCCGCTTTCCAGGCAGAAAAAATCCAGACTGGGAACGTTTGGAGAGATAGGAATGTCAGGGATAAAGGGAATGTTTGCAGTCCTGGGAGTAAATCCACTCCTGGAGCAGGGAATGGCAGGATCCGGACATGGATTCTGAGGGAAAGGAGCTTCCAAATCCTACAAAGAGAAATTCTAGAAAGCAGGGATAAAAAAAAAATAAAAAATCCGGGAGACAGGGATGGGAGCCAACATATTTTGCGGAGCGTTGACCTCATTTAACATCCCAGAGAAATGAAAACCTTCTCCYGGTTCCCTGCTGGAGAGAGGGAAGCTGGGATGGGGCATGGAATGATGGGAAAGGGAAAGGGGGAAGATTGTGAACACACTGGAATTGGGGGGAAATTCAGGAAAGAGATTTTGTGCAATAAATTCTGAGATCTGGAAGGGTCTCGGTTGCAGAGGAAGGGTCGGAGAGGACGGGATGGGTTTTYCCTCTTAATTTTCCTGGATTTTGCACTGCAGACCCCTGAGTGGAGGATTCTTGGGAATGGGAACCCTGAGATAAATCAGGGAATCTCATTCCATGGTTCCTTGGTTTAGGAGCTCACGGTGCAGCTGCAGCTTCCGGATAAAACTCCAGAAAAGGAACACAAAACCTCCAATAAACAAAWATATTCCATGAAGTGGGAAATGTCTGGGAAAAACAGGGAGAAAAACTCCTGCTGGAGCATCCTAATCCCAGGTAATGGACACAGGGAAAGCGGTGGGGATGGAAAAGCAAAAAACTTGGAGTAAAATAAATATTGGGAATATTCCAACTGGCTCCAGGTAAACTGGGAACTTTGGGAGAGGTTTCCAGGTGATTTAGTACCTGGAGAGATTTTCCTGTSGGGAGTGATATCGCTGTCCCAAAGAAGTGACAAAAAGCCACAGGTTTTCCTTGGAATTCCAAAGGGTAGGAAGCCTAAAATTCCCCCTTTCCTTTGGAGTTCCTGGGGCATCCAAACTTATGTTCCTTGTCAGGACAAAGAGTGGAAAAATGAGTAAAACAAAACATTTGGGAAAGAAGAACRGGAATAAAATCCACCTTTCCTGCCAGGATAAAAATAAGGATAAAAATAACACCTCCGTGGAAAGGGAATCTCGGGATCAGGATGATTCCAAAGGCCTCAGGCCCATCCTCTGCCCTGCCTGCATCCTTTGCGATTCTCAGCTGGAAAAGGGATTCTGGGAAATGCCCGGCAGCTTTCCTGCCATGCTGTGGGAATTTTCTCATTTTCCAGGTGTTGTTGATTTCCCTGGAAATCCTGGCTGCACTTCCACGAGAATTTGGGGCTGGATTTTGCTGCCTTTGCTGCAAAGCTTTCCAAAGATTCCAGGACCTCCTGGAAAAATAACCCAGTTTTTCATTTGGGAAAATGCAGCCTTTTTCCCTGGCCCCAAGCACTGGGATGGAGCTCCCAAAGAGGGAATATTGAGCCAATATTGAGGAAAACGTGATAAAAAATGAAAGATGTTTGGGAAAAAGCTCCGGGAAGGAGCAGAGTGAGCAGCGTGCTTCTCTGCAGCTGGAATTCCTGGGAATCCCTCTYTGCCAGGGAAATGCCGACAGCTCCCGATTCCCCTCCCATCTCCAAGCCAGAGTTTGTCATCAGCTATTAGGGAACATCCCAGGATTTGGATGGGGAGCCAGGGAATGCTGGGAATGAGCAGAGGCTCGGTTRTCCYGRGCTCKGGTGTTGGAACATTCCYGGTTTCCCACAAAATCCCTGCCAARCAGCTYYGGGGGAATTGCTGCACCTTGTGCTTCTGGAATTCCAGCTTTTTGGGCCCCCCATAGCTCGGGATGAGCCACTGGATGGCCACTCTGGGAATGTGCTGATTGTCCATTTGGGAATTAATCACGCCAGCGCTTCCCGGGAAAACCCCTGGAAATCCATTGCCTGGGGGGGAAGCGGCTTCTCAGAATTCCAAGACCCTCAGGGGGGGTTTTATTGGATCTTTCCCAGCTAAATCCTAGATGGACAACTCAGCCCTGCCCTTTGTGCAGCCTCCCAAAATGGAATTCCCACCATTCCCAAGGATCTTCAGGAATTCCCAATCCCAAATGTGCCCCACGGAGCCAACACAGCGATTTCACCACTTGGTGACCCTTTGGAGAGGGAAGGAGCCAACTCCTTCCATGGAAAACCCAACTGGAGAAGGAAAACTGACACCAGGGAAGTTACGGAATCCCAGCACATCCCTCGGGATCCTCCGGGAAGTCCCGGCTTCCCTGGGGAAGTGTCCCTGATTCCAGGGCTGCCCATTCCCACGGGAAGTGTTTATGGACAAGAGTGGCTCAGAATTCCTTGGCTGAACTCTCCCACTCTGGATCCTGCTGGCTCTGGAACTGCTCTGAAGTTCTGGGACACCCGGGAATGTCCTCGGATGGGGTTTGTGCAGGGAATGTCACTGGAATGGGGAATCCCAGGGAATCCCAGCCCATGAGAATATGGAAAAGCAGAGCCTGGGTCCAGAAGCTCTCCCAGAGAGCCAGGAGAGGGATTTCCTTGGGAAAAGCTCCCAGGGYAGGGAGCAGAGGGACCATTCCCATGGATGCACATCCCATCCCACACCCTCAGCCCATCCCAGAGCCCTGGGAGATCCCTCACATCCACAAATTCCTTTGGAATCTGATGGGAAAACAGCAGCGTTATCCTCAGGGAAATAAATCCACTGGGATGAACAAACTGGGCTGGAGATACCACAGAATGCTGGAAATGTTAACTCTTCCCACTGGGATATGGCTCATGATGGACACCCCTGTGGGCAGAAATCCCTGGATACAGAAACATCCAGGGAGAGAAATGCTCGGGGATGGAAACGGGAATCCCATGGGAAGAAACATCCATGGGCAGAAACTCCTGGATGGAAGAATGGAAGTCCCTGTGGGCACAAATCCCTGGATGCAGAAATATCCAGGGATTGGATATCGAGGATAGAAACGGAAATCCTTGTGGACAAAACCATCCATGGAWCCAGAACCATCCATGGAACAAACCCCCGGATCCGGAAACCCCACTGGGCAGAACACCTCGCAGGGATCATTTCCACTCATCCCGAGGCGGAATTCCCGATGTGCCACATCCCCAAATTCTCCCTCCCTTCCCCCTTTATGGACCAGCAGCGCATCCATGGGGGAATTCACCYCTCRGGCTCTGTYACTTYCCSRRATTTTTCCATTTTTTCCCACTCCCGAGCCGCGGCCACGCCGGCAGCCCCACATCCATGCACACATGGTCCCAATTATTCCAGGAAAAGCAGCTCCGCCGCGGCTCCCTTGAAAGGATCCCCCGGCAGAAAGGGRAAAAAAATCCTTAAAAGCGCCCATAAAAACCCCAACCAGCCTGGCGCGTTTTCCAGCAGGAAGTTTGGGAATGTTTGCAGCTGGAGAAGGCGCGGGCCGGCCGCCGCGCTCCCGGCGCTGGGGAAAAGCGGATTTTTTCCCCCTGTATTTTCCCCCCTCCTTTGGCGGCTCCGAGCGCGGGCTGCGGGCGGGAGGATTCCAGATGGGATTGAGACAGGAATGCCGGCTGCTGGGGAGATTCTTTTTCGAAGGAAAAGTCCGATTTTTCCAAGGAAAAAATCCATTTGCCTCCATCCCAGCCCCCCGGAGCAGACCGGGAGCAGCCGCGGGCTCCGCTCCTGGAATTAAACTCCGCCTAAAGCCTCTCCTAACTCACTTAACCCCGAGCATTCCCTGTTTTCCAGCAGAACAGCCTCGGGAAAAGAAGGATTTAGGGGGAAAAGGCCTTAATTTTGAAGGGGTTTCTTTTCCCCCCAACATCCGATCCTTCGGGAAAATCCCAGTTAATCCCGCTCTAAGCGCAGCCCGGCCGAGGAGGGGCTCGGGAGCTGCCTGTGGATKCCCGGGAATCCCATCCAAGGTCTCCATCCCCTTCCAGCAGCCTCCAGCTCCCTCCCGCTCCCGGCAAAACTTYTCCAAGAGCTGCATTGAGGTTTCCCGGGCGCCTTTTCCCAGCGCGCCGCAGCGATTCCCGGTTTTTTGGGGATCRGGACGGGCGCGGGGCACTCACCGGGCAGGAGGCAGAGGGAGCAGGCCAGGAGAATCCCGCTGGGAAGGGCCATGGAATCGCCGGCTGCCCCGCTCCCCGCTCCCGGGCATGGGCGGGAGGCGGCCAGCGGCACTGGGAGCTCCTATCCCAAATCCCGGTCTTGATCCCAAGCTTTTCCCGGCTCCCTGACAGCGGGCGAGCATCGGGAGGGAGTGGGAGGGACGAGGGAAACTTGGAGGAGGGACAGGGGGAAAGGACGGGAATGGGGACAGCCTTCTCCAGCCGCGGCACCCTTTAGGGAGCGGATTCCAGCAGGGAATTCCGGCCTGGAATCAGGGCTGTGCCAGCCGGGAATTCTGACTTGGAATCAGGGCTGTGCCAGCCAGGAATTCCAGCTGGAATCAGGGCTGTGCCAGCCGGGAATTATGACCTGGAATCAGCTGTGCTAGCCGGGAATTCTGACCTGGAATCAGGGCTGTGCCAGCCGGGAATTTGGGAAGTCCAGCCTGGAATCGGGGCTGTGCCAGCCGGGAATTCTGACCTGGAATCAGGGCTGTGCCAGCCGGGAATTTGGGAATTCCAGCCTGGAATCGGGGCTGTGCCAGCGGGGAATTCTGACCTGGAACCCTGGGTGTCTCCCGGTGGGATCACATTGGGATCACAGCTCGGGGGGCTTGGCAAGGGAAGGGCTTCAAGCGGTCACTGAGGGTGGGGGTGGCACCGGTGCCACCACCACCCGGGTGTCACCTCCCTTCAGGTGTCACCTCCACAGGGAAAAGGAGGGAAAAACTGGGAGAGAGGAGAAGGGAAACTGGAATAGTTTTATAGCAGGCAGCGCGTTGAGCTGGATGCAGATCTGGGAATTACATAAGTCATTCCCAAAGGCAAGATCCCGTGCCTTCCCCAAATTGAAATCCTTGGATGATTCCCAAAAAAACCCTGGATGTGGAGAAGGCTGCTCAGGCCATGCCCTCCCAGCTGGAGCCTGGATGACCCCGGGATCAGGGAAAAGCCTTTGTTTTCTGGAAAAATCTGCGGATAGTGTGAATCAGTCCTGGGATCRTGGAATGGCTCAGGCTGGATGCTCATCCCATTCCAAACCCATGGGAACATCCGGGATCCAAATCCCAGCTGATCCTGAGCCTCTGAATCCCCTGGGATCTCCTGCTGCCTTCCYAACCTTCCTTCCTGAGTTTTTGGGATCATCCCAGGAGGTTTTCCCACGTCTGGGCTCGTTTTTTCCCAGCTCCAGCTGTTGCCGCGGCAGCTCCTTGATCCCGACCTTTGGGAGGATCCTGGATCCCGGCCCTTGGATGCCGCTGCCTGTGGAAGAGTGAGGCTGGAAACAAGGAATGTAAACAGAGGCTGGGAAGGGAATGACAACAAATTCCCAAATTCCCTGATTTCAATGGAGGAGGAGCTGGGGGTTATGCAGGGATTTCATCCCGCTCCAGAGGCTCTCAGGGGGATTTTCCCACTTTCCAGGGAAGGATGGATGCYCAGGAACACCAAGACCCACTCCAGACCTGGATTTGGAATCGGGATTTATCCCTCTGGATACCAGGGAGCAGCTCCAAGCCGGAGCACGTGGGGATCTCATTCCTGATCCAGCGGCTCCGCTGAGCTCAGAGCTCTGGAGAATTGGTCCAGGGCAAAACAGTTGGAAGCAGAATTCCAGCCTCTCCCACACTGTCAGCTCTTCCCAGAGCCAGGAAAACATCCCAGGTCCCAGAGCAGGAGAGCAGAGCCGGGAATGATCCGGAGCTTTCCCACTCTGGGATGCTCCAGAGTTATTCCAGAGYCAAATCCAGCTGGGATTGCTCTGGGAACAGGGAAGCAGTAGGAGACTGGAGCTTGGGAAAGGAGGGAAAATCAAATCYTAAAATCYCAGGATTAYTGGGAYGGGAAGAAYCCTTAAAGCTCATCCCATTCCCAYGGGCAGGAACRCTTCCCATTCCATGGGATCGTCACCCGGAGCAACCATGGAAGTGGGAAAATCCCAAATTCTGCTACAAGAGGGATGTTCCTCACCTCTCTCCCTGTTCCCAGCTCCCTGCAGTTCCTCCTCTGYACTTCCCTTCCCAGACATTCCCATCCATGCCCTTTCCCAGGAAAACTCGGGATGCCACAGCCACCAGCTCCCAATGGAGCATCCGGATAAAATCCACAATAATTACAGAAAATCTCCRGGAAGCGCTGCTCCAGAGCCTCGAAGGCTTTGCTTTTTCCAAAATCGATGATCCCAGGATGTGGGGCCATTCCATCAGCTCCGGCAGCCCCCAGACCACTTGGAATGTGCTGATATTCCCAAATCCCAGAGCAGCCTGGGTCCAAACATTGCTTTATCCTTGAAATCCTTCCAGAATTCCAGGCTGGATCTCTCCAAACCCTGCAGAATCATTCCTTCCACTCRTTTTTCCATCAYGCCGACAGAATCTTTTCCAAGTCTYTGCTGCCCTGGAGCRGGATRGATCATTAAGGGATTTATGGAAGCAAAAAATTCCTTTTGTTTTATGTTACGATCCCAATTCCCACCTCAAATCCATTGGAGAGAGCTCTGAATTCCTGTCCTGCTGCTTCCCAACAGCTGCTGGAAAARTCCAGCCAGCCCTGCTGGAATTGTTTGCCTTTGGCAGCTCACCCCAGCCCCCGTTCGGGGTTTATGGAAAAGGAATTTTATGGGTWTTTTCACTTTGCCCCCCTGCCCACAGCCCCTTTCCAGCACCTTCCCGAGGATTTATTGGATCAAGATCAAACGGGAATGGTTTGGATGCAGCTCCTGGAGCTCCCCACTCACCCCCAGGCTAGGGGAATAAAAAACTGGAACATCCTGTAAGGAAATTTTGGGAATATTTCTGGCATTTTAGGGGCTTCTCTGGATCCCCCACCCCTGGCAGTGGAATTTGTCATTCTCCAGGTGTTGTTGATTTCCCTGGAAAATTCTCTGGGAGTSATGGGGGAAGCAGATCCCAGCACTTGGATCCTGCTCTCATCCTTCCACACTTCCCAAAAATCCCAGGGGTGAGTTTTTCCCCTAAAAGAAAAGCCCCAATGTATCCTTGGGAATGATCAGGGCTTTGGAGAAGCCTTTTCCCACCCTCTGGAAAAGAAGGGCACAGGTTTGGGATGAAAATCCTGTTCTCATTCCCAAAAATCTCCCACTRCCCATCCAGTTCCATCTTCCCTTATCCCAGGCTGCTCCAAGCCCCATCCCTTAGACATTCCAGGGATCCAGGGGCAGCCTCAGCTCCTCTGGGAATTCCATCCCAGCCCATTCCAGGGAGAAATTCTTTCCCAGTATCCCACTAAACCTCTCATCCTTTAGTTTCCAACCATTCCCACTTTTCCTATCACCCTCTATCCATGTAAAAAAATCCCTTTCCCTCTTTTTTTTCTATAATCTGCTCTAAGTCCTGTAATGCCACAGGGAATTTTCTCTGGAGCCTTTTAAGTCTGAGAATTCCCAATTCTGGAAAAGTCCATTAAATACAAGGAATTGGGGGATGATTTTTCCATGGATTCGCTCCCTCCCTCATCCCCTCTCCCAGGAGGTGACTCCGCAGCAGGTGCAGGAGAAACCTCCTGGGAATCCCACCTGGAATTCTCCCCCAAAGCCATGGATCAGCCTGGAATGACCTTCCCGGGATTCAGGGTGATCCGGAGCTTTTCCAGGCCCAATTCCCACTCCAGAGAAACCACAGGACACTCCAAATCCTGGGAGCACCGGCCCTGCCCTGGCCCCACCTTCATCTGCTTTAATTAATTAATTTAATTACCTGCTCCTAATTAGCAGCTGCCACTTAATGAGMTCAATTATATGGAATCCCTGAAAAKCAGGATGGTTCCCAAGWACTCCTGGGATGGGGAATCCCTAAGGATTCCTGAAGGAGGGACAGGGGGACAGTGAAGAGAGGAGGAGCCAGMGGGGAAACCCCTGTGATGAATCCTGGGATCTGCTCCTCTAAATTCTGGGATGGAGCCTGAGATCAGCCCCCCAAAATTATGGGGTGAATCCTGAAATCTGCTCCCCACAATCTGCAGTGAGTTCTGGGATCAGCCCCCAAAATTCTGGGATGGCTCCTGGCAAACCGAGTGGGACTGGCAGATTGGGGGTGCAGATTTTGGGAATTCTGCAGGGAATGAGGAGCTTTGGGGGGGCTCCCTCTGCTGCTCCTGCAGGMCCTTTCCAAGCCCTGCTCCCATTCCTGGGAATTGTGGGAATCCTCAGGACAGTGGGAGAGTGGACATGGTCCCCCTGTCCCCCTCTGTCCCCCTCCCTGTCACCCCAGGGAAATTTGGGAATGCTGATGGAAAAAGAGCAGCCAGGCCAAAGGTGTCAAGTTTGCCTTTAAAACTCCTGCTGGAGCCAAGAGCCGAACTCATCCATCAAACATCAGACTCCAGGCATGGAAAAACTTCCTCAAATTCCCCAGGCTGGCTTCCCACAGCCCGGGATTCCTGCCAGGAGCCCCTTCWCCGTGCCCGGCTCCGGCTGTTTTCCGAGCTGCCACCAGATCCTCCCGTTCTCCAGACTCAGCTTCTCCCCGGTGGATGGAGCTGTAAATCCAGGCTGCTTTTCCATGGAATTCTGTATCCATCCGTGCCGGAGGAGGGATGGGAAGTGAGCTCCCAGTGCAATTCCAGAGGCTCCGGTTGGATTCCCGCCAGGATATTCCCTGCTGCCCTCATTCCCATTCCACCGGACCCTTCTCCCTGCAGGGGATTAATTATGGGATATGAAAACTTTGGGAATTTCCTGGAAACTGCCAAGACTCATGGAGTCCAAGGTATCCAAACGTTCATGGATCGGGAACACCTCCCATAAACTGGATGCCAGCACAGGGGTTTATCCTAAAACTTTGTCCCACTTTTTCCTCTGATCCCTCGTGCTTTATCCAATGGCATCAGAAAGGGAGAGGAATTCTGCAGGAGACCTCCAGGGGGTCACCATAATTCCCAGTCCATGGAGGATGTCGGGAACATTTTGGAGAAACTTTGGATTTGGGGAATGGGGACAGAGCAGTGCCACCCCCACACGGAGACTTCCCACCTCAGGATTCTGTGGGATTTTTGTGATCCCCTTGGATTTTCCCGGTTTTTCCTCATTTCAACCCCTCCTACCCAGGTTTCCTGGGATCCCACAGGTTCCTCTTCCCCCATCCCTCCACTTTTCTACTTGAAAATAAATTGAAATGTGCAGAAAATGAGGAAGCTGGGATATGCACTAAATACAGACCCACAAAAATTCCTGGGAATTCCATAATTCCAAGTTTGGGTAGGAARGGACCTTGAAYCCATCCCATTCMAYRGGCAGGGACACTTCCCRCTATCMCAGGCTGCTCCAAGCCTCATCCAACCTTTTCCCAGACACTCGAATTCCCCACATTCCTCTCTTTACTCCCAAAATCCAAATGTCCCTTCCCACTGGATCTCCTGCCTTGCTCCAGCCTCTGTTTCCCTCTCCCTCATCCTCTCCCAAGCTTTTCCCATCCCATGGAATCCACCCTTCACCCACAGCTTCACTTCCCAGGGATCCCCAATCCTGGAGGTGCCCTGAGGATCGGAGGCCGAGGGCACCGCTCCGAGTTGGGAATTCCAGCTCCCACCTCCCTCTCCCGCGCCCTTGGAAGCGCTTTCCCACYGGGAGGAGCGGCCTCGTCTCTGATCCCTTCACCCCCTGGAATTCTCACTCGTGCGCCACGTTCAGCTCACGCTTGGAATGAGCGAAAGCGGCTCCAGATTCTCCTCCCTGCGAAAAACGGGATCTTTTCCAGGGATAATGGGAACCAGATGCGTGCGGCGGCAGGAAGAGGCAGCAGACGGAGATGTTTGTTCCCGCTCACAGCGGTGGGGAATGGAATCTTCTCCCTTTCAAGTCCCGGGATTTGGGCTGTTGGGGCGGTGCCAGCGCCAGGTATTGTTATTCCAGAGGAACTTTGATCCAAAGGGATGAAAGCCCGTCCCTGGACATCTCCATAAATTATCCAGGCTGGAATCCAAACACGACACTCCGGTAATTGGCGGCTGCRGCGGCTCCGGGATATTCCAGGACGCTGGGCTGTGCCCAGGCCGGGAGCCGTATCCATGGCATTCCCGTTCCTCTGTAATTGTGGGCAGAGCCAGGGACGGGCTGGGCTCCAGCCCCGCGGATCCAGCTCCCATGGGAGCACCCCTGGATCGGCCACAGGAGCAGCTCTGAGGATCCTTCCCGAAGGATTTTGCCAAGGAGGATCATCCATCTTTCATTTCAGAGGGAACGGCGTCGCTGAGGAAAACCTGGAACACCGGGAGGGTTTTCCCAGCTGGGGTTGGGGGGGATCATGGGGACAATGGGAGCTCCATGGCCAATGGAAACATTGGGATYATCGTATCCAATGGAAACACTGGGACAACCATGATGGAAAGATTGGGATCCCCACATCCAGTGRCAGGGGGATCGTGGTCAGTCCCTCCAGCTCTCAGGTGCTGATGGATCCCAATCCCAAATCAGCCATTCCCAAGCCTGGGGCGTTTCCATCTCCCAGCCGGTTTCTGTCTCCCGGCCATCCCTCCATCCGGACACTCCCCTGGAGCGCGAGATTTGGGGCTGGAGCTGCATCCCTGGAGTGAATCCATCTCGGCCCCGCAGCCGGAGCCTCAGCCGGTGCCATATCGGATCCAGGATGCTCCGATGACACCGCAATTCCATGTCACAGCAGCTTCTCCGGTGTCCCCACGCCCATCCCGGCACAGGGGAATGTTTCTTTCCAAGATATTCCTCAAAGGAAGGGTTAAGCTCATCCTCGGAGCTTGGGAAGCCCAGGAAAGAGGGAAGGGCTGAGGAAGCCTCTCCATCCTTGGATTCAGGAYGGGCTGGACAATTTTTCCCGGGAGTTTTCCCTGAGCAAGGCAATGCCTTGTGCCAATCCCTGATCCCTAGACATGGCCACTCTGTTCTTCCTGCATTCCCAGCCAGCCAGGTGGGAATTTTCCCGAATTCTCCCATTTTCCCGAAGATTTGTTTTAATTGCCCCCATCCAGCGGCTCCTTCGGAAACGAAATCCCGGGATAACCGSGGGGTGGGATGGGGAGGGATGGAAGCGCTGTCCCCGCGTGGGCTCGGGATGCTGCGGGGCTGGGCCCGGGCGACTCCAAACCTGATTTTGGGAATGGTTTTGTTCCTTTAGCCAGGTTTATATCCCTGATCTCGAGTTTCTACAGAATTCCTCTCATCCCAAGGGATGCGCGCGGCCCCGCAGTGTCCCCATCCCCTCCCAGCCCTCTCCCCATTCCCAAGGATTTCCGCAGCGATTCCCCCCGGCAGGGCCAGGAGAGGGAGCCCGAGCCGCTCCCGGAGCGCTCCAGGGATTCTCCGCTCCAGAGGCCGCATCCAGCGGGATCCGCTCTGCCCATCCTTCGGGATACGCCGAGGGTCGGGAATTCCCGCTGCCTCCAGCTCGGGCTCTGCTCTGAAGCTCTGCCCGGGAATGGGATTGCCCGGGAATGGAACTGCCCGGGAATAGGGCTGCTCGGGAATGGGATTGCCCGGGAATGGGGCTGCTCAGGAATGGGATTGCCCAGGAATGGGATTGCCCGGGAATGGGGCTGCTCAGGAATGGGATTGCCCAGGAATGCGGCTGCCTGCATCCAGTGCCGCTGGAGTATTCCCGCTGGTTTTCCTGAATGATCCTCCTGGGCTGTGGGAGACACATTCCAGAGGGCACCGGGACCAATCCAGGTGTCTGGTGCTGCTGGAGATGGAGGAATGCTGAAGGGAATTCAGGGAGGCTGCTTGGAATTCACGAATCTCTGGTGTGGCGAATTCCCAAATTCCCACCCCACCCAAAGCTGAGCCCTCCAGCATTCCYGCTTTTCCCAGCTTGGATGAGGGGCTGCCCCAGCTCCCCCCTCCCAGTTCCTTTCCCAACATTTCTGGGCTCCTCCCAGGATGCATTCAGGATTTGGGGAGATGATGGGATTTCCCACAGTACAGAAAATCTGGATCCATCCATCAGCAGCCTCAGATCCCGGGATCCTCCCAGCTCCAGGCTCCTTCCCACAGCTCTCCCTTCCCATCCTACCTTTTCCAGCTGTCGCAGTTCCCGGCTCCCAGCGAGTTTTCCCAAGCAGTTAATTGGTGCTAATTTATTCCAGAGGGCTCCCTCTGGAATGACAGCGGCTCCTCCAGGGCTTCGGAATAACTGGGATTCTCCACCTCTGGTTTATCCAGGCCAGGATATTCCCAGGACATTCCCTGGATATGCCAAGGATATTCCCAGGATATTCCCAGTCCCAAGCTCGGTTTCATTCCAAGCATCCCCTTATCCCACACGGATCCTTCTGCTTCCATCCTGGCTCCCAGGAAAATGGGGTTTTCTCAGGAAAAGGTCACGCCTGGGTGGGCCGGGATTTGGAGGTGGCTGATGTCATTAATTCCCATTAATTGCATTAACCTTTCCCACACTTTCCAGCCCAGCCCAGCCCACGTGGTTTATCCTTAAAAATAGTCGATTTCCAAGGAATATCAGGAATATTTTTCCCCCCTTTGTTATCAGTTCTGCTGGTTTTTTCCAGGGAAGCTCAGCCCAGAAATAAAGCTCATATTCCATGAGTTATTCCATGAAAAATCTCCTCACAAAAAGGGAATCCTTGGGTTATGGGCAGTGTTTTTCTTCCAGGGGAATTGGGAATGCCTTTGGARTTGGCCTCGAGTCATTTGAAATAAATAAAATTAATTGGGGCAACATTTAATGCTGGAGAACTCCAGGCCTGGGCTGAATCCTGGTTCCATTCCCTGGACACAAGAAGCTCAAATGCAATTCATTTTTCCCCAAGTATTTATTCTCTCATTTTCAGCCCTGGAGATCTCAAAATGTGGAGGAAAATTCCCAGTTTTGTGGCATGCAAGGAGACACAGGCCATGGGCAGCAGGRATGCTCCTCCCTTTATTTAATTCAGATTAGAATTCCCCAAATCCCCCTGAATTTATTCTGAATYGGTGCCACCAGCAGTGGGATTTCCTTGGTGGAAAGAACAAGAATTGGGATCAAATAATCTGGAATTTATTCCTTCAGCAGGGACTCTCTGGCAGCGATTGGGGCCTGGATTT